GGGGTGCTGTGATCTTGAAGTTTGAGACATTGTAAAAATTGTGATGAACAGAAACAGATTTTGGGGGAAGTTGTGCAAATCTCAAGAAGCTGCAGGAACCATTTCCAGATTGCACTGTGAGTCATTACTTCCAGATTTAAAAAGCAGTTGGCGTGTTACTAGTTTAGTCTTAACTGTGTTTCAGTTTAATTTTAAATGAAATTATGATCAAACAGCATTTTTGAATAATCCAGTTAAGAAATCCAGGTACTTGCAAAGTGCATAACCTTTAATGAAGACAGACTACAAACTTCCGCTAAGGTTGTAAATTACATCTACACATCTACACAAAGATATCTGGGTTTAGATTAGCTTATGACATTTTTGGGAAAAAAAATCAAGACAATGTCTGCAATTTCTTTATTATTTTTCAATCTGATATCTATGCATGAAGATTTATTGCACTATTTTGGACTATTTTACAGTAGTAGTGAATTCTTCAAATAAATTCTTGACTCCATATTTCAAACAGTTGGCCCAAGTTCCAACTCTGGTCAAATTTCCATGCAAATTATTGCAAATTAGAGTAACCCTGCTAACAAACAGACAATCTGTAAAAATGCTATAATGCTCTAATGCCGGTGAAAAACCGTCTTGAATATTGATATCGTCCACATCTCCCAGAATGATGGCTGGCAATTTGGCTTTGTGGAATAAAACCACCTGTAACTGGAAAAGGCATCAACCAGCATGTTTACACCAACATCTCATTAAATATTCTGTGCTCAGGCTGTTCCCCACATGGCTTTAATATGATCGACTAATTAATTACTGCAACATGTAATCTCATATGAATTTTAATGTTAAATTATAGAATACATGCCACAAGTCTGCTACATGTTAGAGATGAACTGTGAAAAACAGCACCTCAAACATTTCTACAGCAGCACGACACTTTTTTTTTGCCAGTTGTTCCACATCCTCGCTCTCCTCCTAATGCCAGAGTTCTGGGCTACTTATGGCCCCCAGACTCCCACTGACATGTGGTCAGTGCCTCAGGATGTTACCATAGTGACTGCACCCCCGAAGGCTGGAGGGGCTGGAGGGGCTTCTCTTCTGGTCAGATGGTGGGAGGGCTGAGATACTATCAGCCTTATTAACATCCTGTATGGCCCTCCAGGGTTATGGAGATGACCTGTCCAGCCACATAAATGAAGTCAGTCTAGTTGATTTGTTCCTTCACACTGCTTCACCACAGAATTACTCCATCCATTTATTTTATTACAGATGTGTCTTTTCTCCTGACATAATTAAAGAGTTATTGCACAGAAAACTTGATTTTTCACAGAGATTCGCACACATAAAACCTGAAACCTGAGCTGCTCATATAATAAGACTCAGTTGGGTTAGTGGAAGAAAAGCTAAGAGTCCATTAAGTGTAAACATCTATTTTTTGC